ATAAAATTCATGATTGAAATTCAGTCCTGAAGCTCTTGAGAAGCCATAATTCTATGTTAAATTTTATTACTCTTTTTTTACACATTTAGTATTCCCTGAATTTAAAATCAAATTCTAATACATGTTCTATCCAGAGGACAGTCTTTCTTGTTGAAAGAATGTTTTTCTGATGTCAGATTTTGTGTTTTTGAGTGTCTGAATTAATTTTAAAATTAAAATATATGCTTAGTGTTATACTGTGGACAAAAAAAATTCCAAACACTTTCAACAAATTTAAATTAATTAGAAATACCTGAGATCATGATTACATTGTTTGGCTCCTCTATTCTCTTTTTTTTTCTTTTGATTTATTTTCTTTTTCTTATTCTTTTAGGTGAAGATTTCTGTCAGATTTAGAGGAATATAGTCATTAAAAGTTAAGGTTTAAAAAAATGCAGCTTCACATCAATACTGATCCTTTCTATTGTGAAATTACTTTTTCCACCTCATTTAATGATAGAAGCCTGGCAACCGTGATGTGCTTCTATTTTATTTTTAACTTCACATCTGATAGATGCATGTGTGAGAGACTTGGCAATTACAAAGATGGTTTTGTTACTTACTATGCAGCAGTCTCCTGCCCTTTAGTGTGCAGTAGGACTGTACTATAATAGAGTATGAAACTTCTAATAATTTGAGATGAGTTTTGAGAAGACAGGCTCGTGGCTGTTTCTGTGCTGGAGATGCTTTTACACCCTACAAAATCTGTGCCTGTAGTCAGCAGTGTCCTTTGAAGAATCATGATTCCCAGTCAGAAGCCCAAACCCTTCCTGGAACTCATGAGTATTTTTCTCAGACTGTGCAGAGCTTTTTTTTCATGGAGCTGGGCATTTTCAGCAATCAGTCAAGAGGAGAAGGCAGGCCAGGCTGCCAGTAGTGACCCTTATTAAAGGGTCTTATAAAGGGTGGTAAAGGGAGGAGTGGGGTAAAACCAAGGGAGTGTGAATCAAGCTGGTTTTGAGGTCAGTTATTTGGCTTTGTAGGAAGCTGTTTCACATTTAGTGCTGGATGGCTTTGTTTTGTAGGAATGTAAATAGAAATGTGTTCTTTGCCACAGAAACCATGCCATGTGAGAGCAGGTAAATGACTGGCTTGTAAGGTTTTTGAGAAATACATCCAGTCTTTACTATGGGGCATCTAGATAATCCGTTCTGAACACTTACTTTACTGAGAACCAGTAAATCTCAGCTTTTGCTTATTTTCATCACTAAAATAAGACAAAGGATAAAAAAATTATTAGTGAATCAAGTCACTGTATATGTTACATAGGGTGAGTTTTGGGAATGTGGAGTGAGAAAGAATAGAAGCTTCAATAGCTGAAATTGAGCTTATCTGTCAAGGCAGTGGTGTGTGTGATGGTGTTTGCTTACTACAAGCACAGATTCTCAGCTGAGAAGTAATATGTGCTGTACCAAACTGGTGAGACTGTTTGAGTAATGCAGGCTGACGAACTGATGCAAGGTTCTTAAAATGCTAAAGGAAAATAGAAGATAATAAAAGGTGGAAAAGACACTCCTTTGATAAAGTTGGTTGGCTTTTCTCCCACTCACTTTGTCTACAGCAGATATACTATAACTTCCTCACAGGTGCATATCAACTGGACCCCAATTGTTTTAGGGTTTAGCAGTAATTATAGTTCTTTTGAAATTGTTTCAACAACAACAAAAAAATATTCTTTGCCTGTTTTTCCTTCTTCCTTGGTCTTAACCTGTTTTCCAAGATGATGGCTTTGTCTTTGAGGAAAAACACCCGTCAGGAAATGAGCTGAAACAAGCTGTGTATCCCCTTTCTGATAAAGTGGGTCTGTTGTGCTCTGTCTATAAGCAGGGAATGTGCTTCCCAAAGGATGAGTGTATGGGATCCAGTCACTGGCTTAGCTCTCTATGCAGACAAACATTAACTGTCTTGACCAATTAAAAATTACCTGGACATCTCTGAAGGCTGGTGTTTCAAGTCTCAAAGAATTTACATCTCTAACTTATAAAAATGGAAGAAATTAATAACTGATCATGTTGAAATATCAACTATCCCTGGGAGCAAAAGGTTCCTAGTCTCTGTGTATGATGATGAATTTTAAGACAGAAAAAATGCACTGCTTTTTTATGCTATTCTCTAGTTAAAGTCTTTAATATAAATTGTTATATTGTAAAGGTATAGTCTTTCTCTGAAGTGGATACAACTTGCATTACACTGGTACTTTAAAACAATTGGACTCTTAATAAAGGTGTCAAGATACAGAAGAGCCTGCCATGGGTTTTGATCTACTCAGACTTCTATTGGTTAAATACAGCACACATCACACATTTAAACTTTTAACCTGGAAACTACTGTCCTGAATTTTTCTCTGCATTCCCTGCATTGCCTTAAAGAAGGTGAAAGACATCTCAATGAGTCAGGTAGAACCGTATCTGTACAGTTTCCATTCACTTGTGTTTAGAAGGCATTTTTTAGGGAAAAACAATATTTAGAACTGTTAGGAACATTTTGCAAAGGGGAAAAGTACATATTTACTATAAATCTTTGCATAACACAAGGAAAACCAGAATAAAGTATTGTAGCACCACTTGTCTGCCTGGCTGTTGGTGAGGGATTATTTCTCTGAATTGGACACTAAATTAAGATGCAAATTCCTATTCTGAGCATTTCATAAATCTCTTCTAGAGGATATAGCAATACTTTCAAGTTGTATGTTGCAAAATTAAATTCTCCACTACACTCAGAATAAGAAAAGGGTAGGAGGTTTTTGGTCTACTTCCAGATAACAAATAGTGCTAAATATCTTTATTGTCTGAAAATTTCTTTTCAATGAAATTAGCAGTGTAACTTGAACTGAAAGAAAATACTGATTTAGTGATTACTAGAGAGCTTTGTCATACAACCTTTGGCATTATTTTAGCAAGAGAATAGATTCCCCGCCTTTGATTAGGAATGTCTTTGATTATTATTGAGAAATGCAATAAATAATGCTTAAATTGGTTTTTTCAGCTCTTTCGGTGATCAGAAATTGAGCAGAAAAAGTTAAGGTGAAAAAGATTTGGCAACACATGTCTGGAACCTTTCATATTCTCTTACTCCTTTTAAATAAAAGGCAATATGTAACACTGAGGACAGATATCATGACTAATTAATCAGGGAGACTATAGAGTAGATTTTATGGGCTCAGAACAACAATCTTAGCTTGGGTTCTGAATAAATCTTAACTTGGCCTGTCCATTCAGGTTAACACTGATTGGATAATGGAAAATCATTGTGCTGGATGTCTCAACAACCTAGTTTTGGTTAACTACTCAGCCTCATTTACAGTATTTTGCTGTAAATGTCCAACAAAATTGAATTGCTTACAGGGGTATACCACTAGTGTTGCAAAATCAGAGTACAGGACACATCTGATCAGTGTCTTCCTAGACAGTGAGTGTAATCTGACATGTATCTATGTAATCATTATGACTGTCTACTCCTTGTCCCTTTTCTTTTCTTTCCAGTAATGATTGCTTTATCTTCTGCATCTGTTAAGTCAAATGGAGAACACATATGAATTTTAGAGACAACATTGCTGACGTCTTAGTACTTCATATTTTCAGCCTTTTAAATACTTTCTAGTGCTTATAATTCCCTTTTTTGTAGGTATTCTTTGAAGCATGAATTAATTTTGGCAATAGGTAAACCAGAAGGTTGTTCTTTCAGATGCTAATGTTTTTAATGTTACTGAATTAAAATGAAATCCCATAATAATTGAGATCTAGGTATATCTTGTAAAATTAGCAATATTTCCCTGTAAATATTACTAGACTTGTATGCTTGCCCTTTTAATAAATACATTCCTAAATATCCCAGATTAACCCCCTACTGCTGTAATTATGGCTTGCCTTTGTTATGATCAACATACATCAAAACTTAAAAGATCTGCTATACCATTCTTAAAAATACTCGGATGAGTCACTGTGGAACTCTGGTCCATTACATTCATTCTTTTATCAGACATCAGTAGCAAATTTTCCTAGAGATTTAGAAAATCAAGACAGTATTCTTGGCAAATGATCTTGTGACTTGGGGATAAATGGATTTTCTTGAAACTTGGAGCAGTCACTTTTCATTCTGAAACATTAATTTGGACATTAGCAACCACAAAGCTTAGGATTCAAAGTTATACAAAATCATAAATGTCAGTAAACATCAGTTGCACTGCCTCTGGTTTATTCTTTACTCCTATGTTGGACAGTCTAGTTTTCAGCTCAAAGTGTCCAACACCTTTTTTTTTTTTTTTTCATTATGGACACTATTCAGGTTTTTTCTTGTTTTTCTGATCCATCTGACAATTTTGGTTTAATGAAGTCATAAACACATTGAATTCTCTAGTTGACAAGCCACATTGAGAGAATTCTTGTATGCAATCTAGTGTGGAAAGAGTAATCTGTTTCTCTTAATACCACAAATGTGTAACCTTACTGGGGACACTGAGAGCTGAGGAGGAGGAGTTCTTTTCACCCTTGTTTTGGATACCAAGGTAAAGAATTTTAGGCGATACACAGCTGGTTTATAACATTAAAAACACAATGGAACTGGCTTGCATTTCATCTGAATGGGATGTTATCTGGATCACAGTTAACTTTTTATTAAATGCAGTGCTTAATGGGAGTTGACAGGTGTGCAAGACGTTGATACTGACTGCTGGAAATAAATGTTTTGAAATGCAAAAATTTAGCAACAGGTAAATAATCAACCATATCTGATTAATTATGTTATATATATAGAGACATGTAATAGTGCAAGCAGTTGTTACTTAGTGTCTGTGGTAGAAATGGTTAAATAATATCATTAAAATAAACCTCCATAGATTAATGGAACATGGTTTAACTTATCCTTTAGATGTTCTTATCATAATTACTTCAACATGAATTACAAAAATTGGAGTGCTCCATACTTTCAGTCGTCTTCATGGCCCATGTCTGGACTCATTTCAGCAGGTTCATATCCTTCTGGATGCAACACCCCAGGAGGGGTCTCACCCGGGCAGAGCAGAACAGAGCAGAGCAGAGCAGAACAGAGCAGAGCAGAGCAGAACAGAAGAGAAGCAGACTCCCCTCCCTCCACCTGCTGTTCACACTTCTTTTAACGCGGCCCAGGACACAATTCTTCCCGGGCTGTGAGTGCACATTGCTGGGTCATGTAATTTACAGATGAGTTAATGTTTTCCCAGTATCTATATTTAAATGTGAAAAAACTTACAATTATTTTATTTTGCATGCTTTTTATGAAATCTTCAAGAAAAGACATGTGTATGAAAAGGGCATTTAAGTGAAAATAGGAAAAGAACCTGTTTTGGTTACTCCGTTCTTGTCTTTAGTTTCTTTAGTTGCCAACACTTTTCAGAGAAAATCGGTATTATACAAAAATGTCACCTGACAAAAGAGTTGTAATCACTTAGTATTTGGAAAGCATCACATTCTCAGATGACAGGGATATGAAGTAAATGTTATTTGATATTACTTATAATGATTTTATATGTAGGATAGATTTATAATAAATGCTGGTGAAACAGCTAATGCTGGTATTTTTTAACCACAACCAAGAAATTGCTGATGCACATCTTAGAATCAAAATAGACTTAAAAATGCACAATGCACTTTCCTAAACGTCAAAATGTTCAACCTGTCGCATTTTAATAGGAGCTCTCCAAGTTAGTTACCATGCAACTGGTATCAATCGCTGATGAATGAACATCTGGCAAAGTCTAATGTGTAACAGTTGCAATGAATGTATTAGTTGTAACTTTTAAATGACAGCTAAAGTACCTGTCTCATCTGTGAAGTAACATAAATTCCTATATTGAAGGAATAGGAAGATCATCTCAATAAATCTCCACGCTACAGATGCTGGAATTTGAGAACTCTTACTTGAAATGGTTCCTAAACTCTAAGAATGTGCTTTGTTTAAATATCTCTGGTTGACCCATTAACAACTAGTTTCAGCTAAGAAACTTTTTTTGTCATGTGTCATCTAAATCTCCTTTAAAGTTGTATTTTGTTGGGTTTTTTTGTTTGGTTGTTTTGGGTTTTTTTTGTCTGGAGTGAGGATGTGTATGTTGTTTTTTTGTTTGTTTTGTTCTACTGCTATTTTTTATAGAGAGAACAGTATAGATGATTACTGTCATAACAACCACCATTCTGTGCATGGGGAAACTTCTTGTGTGCATGTTTTATTGCTTTTCCAACTCTGTTTTATTTATATCACTAACTGGAGATTGTATACCCACTGTGACTTCCTTAGGCATGAGTATGCAAAGTAAGTGCCTTAGACATGTTAAACTTGATACATCCATGAACTAAATTTACCTTTTCTCTGGGAAAACACCACTCATAACTTAAAATGACTTTTCAGCTTTGCTGGATTTGGTTGGGGTAGAGTTAATATCATGCACAGAGACTGGCATGGGGCTGTGTTTTGGATTTGTGCTGAACACAGGGTTGATAACACAGAGATGTTTCTGCTATTGCTGAGCAGGGCTCACCCAGAGCCAAGGCCTTTTCTGCTTTCCACGCTGCCACACTGGCCAGCACTGAGGATGCTTGGGAGTTTGGGAGGAGACACAGCTGGGACAGGTGACCCAAAGTGACCAAAGGGATTATTACATTTGCAACCTTCTTTTCTTTGGTGGAAGTCCACTGATAGTATATAAGAACTTGACTAGGGACAAAATTGAAATGCTTTCCTGAGTTACCAACTGCAACTTCAATCTGGATTTCTAGAAAGTTGCAAATACCTTATTTCACCTAGCCATGTTTCTTTGCTTCACTTAGAAAAATGTCTTATAAATGTCAAAAATCAGATGGGACTTGTCCTTGAGAAATCTTTTTCACTTACTTTTTAGCTTAATTTCCTAAGGAAATTAGGCTTCTGCAATCACACTGTGTGTGACTGCTCTTCCTGATTAATAACCTCTTTTCAACCAAATTTGACATTGACCAGAGGGATAGAAGTCTCAAATATAATTAAATCCCTATGCACTGCAGGGAAGTAGGCAGCTAGGTAAATGAAAAGTGCCTTTTATAAGATAAAGACTGAAAATTCAACACTTCCAGAGACACTAGTGAATCCATCCAGGAAAGGTATTACTTATTCCCTGACCTTGGAGAAATTTCAATGAGTACTGAACATATTATGAGACACCAGAGAATTTGTAGGGTGCTGTTCCAGATGAAACAATGACTTTTGACACTGACTGTGTTTAAATGAAGTACCTGATGATTTGTTTAGAATTTTTTTCAAACCTGAAGGTTAGCTAAAAGTTAGATTTAGAATTTCTGATTTTTCCCCAAATTTTATAAATGACCATATTCACAATTCTATGAAACTGAAGAGTTTTTGCAAAAGGATAATTATGGCTCATAGACTACTTCCAAAAGTCTGTTGACAGTATTAAACATATATTTTAGAAAGCTATACCTATACATGTATGTATAATTTATCTAGTTTTTCAGAATTTCTTTCCTAACCTTACATTTTATTCTCACTTAAAATTAATTCTCTAACTATACAACTACTTGAAGACTACAATTATTCAGTTTGCTTCATATGGTTTATTAAATACCCTTAAGCTAACATAGATGGGAAAAATACTCTTTTGCTTTTCTTTTTATTGCTTTTTTGTGTCTATGTTCTACACCCACAGTCCTCAGTCTTTTTTATTCTTCCTTTCACAGAAAACTATATCTCCATATGCTATATAATTCCTGACTTTCAGAGTAATAATAAACCTGTAGAGATATAACTGTTCACCATGATGCCCTGGTGTATTTAATACAGTTTCTTTCATCAACAGCAAGCTCTCCATTGTTCTTTTTACATTTCATACTATGCTCCCCTACTGAAACATAGCTTGAGGCAGAGGGAGAATAAGTTTTGATATTGCGCAGAACAGACCATAGGTATTCAAATATTTCAAAAACTTCTTTTTTTGTTTTTCTTCCTTCTAAACTTAAAACTTCTGTAAGGATTTGTGGATAGTCTGAATTCTGTTTTCTCTACTTAATAAGGGTATATAATGCCAACTGTCTCTTGGTTCAGTAGAGAGATTTAAATAATGCTTTTCTTATTCATTAATATTTTACTGTTTCTTTTTAGAACACCTACATGCAACACAAGAATTTAAAAAAAAAAAAAAAAGCAGCAAAACAAAAAAACCTCCTTTTGGCTCAATCAGAGTTTTGTTTTTGTTTTGGGTTCTTTTCTATACAACCTGTACAGCTTCTCCAATACTGTTTCTGCCATTATTTATCTATAACAGAAAACAAAATGCACATAAAAAATACATGCTCACTTCTTTGTTATTGTTAATATTTTACAAAAAAATGTAGTTGCAGGAAAATGTAATTATTTTTATTTTGAGGATTTTCTCTTTAATTTGATTGTCTGAAGAAAGTAATCTGCATAGCAAAAGGGCAGATGGAGCTGGAAAATTAGTCTTCAGAGCATGGCTAGTAGTGCAAGCTGCAGATCAGAATCATGTTGTCAAATTGTCCCCAAGTGTCTTTCTTGCTTTACTTTAGTCTGCTGAAAGATGCACAGCTCAGAAATAAGGAACTCTGGCCCAGTGAGTTCACATGAGAAGAAACAAAACCTTTATTTTCATCTACCTACTTACATGTTTTGGATAAGTATTTTTTTCCATCTCACCAGATTATATTGAGTTTGCTTAAGAAAATTCTTTATCACATTACTATTAATTACAGTGCTAGAGTACACATAGGAAAGCTGCTTAGCTCTTCCAGTTTTTCCATAGAAGTTTACATCTGAAAATGTAACTTTTTGAAAAGCTTTTTGAAAAAAGCATTAGAAAACATTTGTGTGCATAGTTAAAAAAATGGCTCCAACTGGCAATCCAAATAAATTCCTCAATTCCTAAAATTATGCTAAGTCTCTTTCTCTAATAAAGAAATGCAGTGAGAAGCCAAGACTTCTTTTCACTGTTTATTTTGGCGGATAAATGACTTGCTTTCCTGTCATTTCAGTTTATATTTTAGTGTGTGTACATTATAATTTGTATGGTTATCACTGAGGTTCTTCAGATTGTCACACAGAGAATGGATGGTTCTGGACTTCAGGGGTCCTGGGCAAGATAATTCTCTGCTTGGGTTTTTATCATGGCATCTCTAACATGACCAAGATATGTCAGAAATGGTAGGGACGCCCAAAGTGTTCAGCTTTAGTTCCATTTTGCCACAGGTAACCACATCATGTACTGTTTTTCAGAACTGATAAAGATTTTTCCTGAAAACTGTTCAATTATTGCTGAGGAATGTTAGGAGCTTCAACTGATAGCGCTCACTCACCAGAAGACTAGAAGGCATGAATTTGCCAGCTTTCCAAAGTGAAACATTGTGATTCAGATTGACAAGTATGCCTAGTTAAGGCTTAGTCAAGCACTAAAGATGTTCTTTACATTTTTTTATCTGCAAAATCAGCAGTTTTCTACTTTTTTCTTCCCCCTTTAAAACCAACCAAATTTCTTACACATACTATTGACAGAAAAATTCCAGGCAGGACTTGAATATTTGTATTGTCCTTATTTAATAGCTAGGTAGAGAACTGAACATGTTAAAGTTAAATCTAACTATTAATTTATAGTACATGAAAATCCTACTAGGTATCTCCTCTAACTTGTTCTTAGGCTTTTCCTTGTTATTAATTCTTAAGTGTCTGTCTTTTCCACTGTCTGCCTGAAGCAAGAGTTATTCAAGGACTGATTGTGTATTTTGTTTAAAATTTATACAACATGAAGTGAATACATGGAACTGTATGCTCTACAAACCATAACTAGATAATTGGGTGTGATAGATTGGCATTTAAGAAAACAAAGAGAAACACCTAAGGAAGTTAAAACTGCTGGCGGCTGATGAGAGTTTTTCTCCCAGCCAACTATTGGCCATTTCTAAGAATTGTCAGCAGTTTTAAACATTGAAAAGTGAGTTCAACCTGTGAACACCACCTTAAGACCTAAGCCTGGGAATTTCTTTGTCTCTTTGTTTCCTGGCTGTGGAAGGTAACAGAGCTGCAGCTGGCTTCTCGTCCCCTGGCCAGGCCATGTGGCCCATGCAGGAGCTGGGCTGGGCCTGCTGCAGCTCCCGGCTGGGAGATGGGGCCTGT